TACCGCCATTGTCAACGTAATTAAAAGATAATGTCTGAGGTCTTAAAAAAGTGATTCGAATGTTCACACAGATAAATAACTGTACGTGGTTGCACACTGTTCAGTATTTCATGTCCAATAGCAGGAATCTAAAACTGCACTATCGATACAGTAAACTAGTTCTGATGCGGATAGCTAAGAAGTAACTGAATATACTTCAGCGACGCTTTAGTAAACACGTCTTTTCTAACAGCTAGTTTCCTAACAAAATATATTTCAGTGTCATGCGATACCTCTTAAACCGCACAAAAAAGGGATTATCAACACTTAAAAAAACCTAATAAATAAACGTCTAACGTGATTTTTCTGTATTTATTAACGTCAAATACAGAATATTGCTATAGAGTAGAATTCGACCCTCGTATTTATGCAGTAAAAAGTCAGACTTTATTAGCTGTCAAAGATAAATATGGAACAATACACAATTCTTTTTTATTATCAGCAGTGAATAACAGTACACCATCGGGAACGTGTGTAACCGGGACCTAACACCGTCCGCTTTTCAACTTGCTACACAACCGACTAACCGTAGAACCTGTCGCCAGTCTCCACACAAACTACGTCAGCGGGGGGGAGGTAGTCCATGACGGTGGGGGTTAACGCATGCGTGAATGGTCTCCGGCCCTCTTCTTCTGACGCACCAAAACTAAATCTAACCTAAACTCAAAAGTGGGGGTGAAAGCAAGATTTGAGTGCTCGACGCCTTTCATTTAGGGTAGGGATTTGTTTACTAACAACGCTGGCTTGCCATCCTTTAAACAAAAGTGGTATAAAGTACAAAGGCTTGTTTGTATATGGGTCAACCTCAAGAATGTAAGATTTCTGTGATTTAAGAATGTCCAAAAAAAGGGCGAGGTGTTATGTTTACCCATCGTCTTAATAGAAGTATTACACTGTTTTATACAGGTATTATTCTGCATGAAAATGTGTTCGGTTTTGGCCCAAACGATTAATAAACGAATGATTATTCACTATCGTTTTATAAAAAAACAAATGTTTCTGAACTACAGTCGAAGTGAGAAGACAGTGGCGCCACTGGAATCAAAAGCCGGCAAGACTACGTAACTCTATCATTAACGACGCTAGGCTATTCTTTTGGTCTTTAGAAACGTGGTCAATGTCGCAACCGCAATTTGAGCGAACGAATTTTCTAAACGTAAAATAATCCACAAGCACGGAAGCTGATTACCGCTACTTCTAGACGTAAAAATACGATACTTTCAAATCAGTAGGTAGACATGATTCATAGTGTACATACATTTGTGCGCGCAAGGGGTATACATCTGCAGTTGATTTCACAACAATGACCTTGTTATAATAGCACAGTAATGCCTACTTAGCGATAAATACTACGCTTATAATTAGGCGTAATTCTTATGGCTCTGCAAACAGAATCTGAAACGAAGTCTAAGTCCATCTAAAGAACCCTAATATTTAAAAACTGAATCCGATCGTAAATAAAACAACTCGTCTCCATTACAAATTTCAGTTGGTTAATGTTGTCCAAGGAAATAATCGCTGTTTATTCTAGGAATGATACGGAGTTCTTAGATAAATAAAACGACTTACTTACTCCTAAAGCAGGAGGCACATTTAGTTACCATTGGGTAACTGGCAAGGTTCGTATGACCAGAGTTCGATTCCTGGTAAGGACATATCAATTTAATCTTCATTACTTCTTAAAAAATGACTAATCCGAGGGTTTGGGGGGGGGGGCAAAGCAGCAGAATCAAGAAACAGACCATTCACTACCATCTAACACCGATGTCTTAACCAAAGCGTTCTCAGAGTGGCACTTCAACATTATTAAAGCCCTTGCACACTTGTGTTCGACGAAAAACATTTCGTATCGGGGAGGGGGAGGGGGGCTCATTAATTCACCGCTCAGGCACACTGGGTGTTTTGACTGGCTGACTAATCTGACAGATCAGAAGCACGAAAAGGCGGTAATTCACAGCAAGGCACTCATATAATCTATGGATATTTAGTTTACAGGCGTAAATGAATGATTCACGTTGGTTCCAACTATCAGACATTAACAACTTGTTACTAAAGATTTGTTCAAGATTTCAATTGCTTTACTATTGTGCGCAATAAGTGATGGAAGTACTGGGAAGAAGGGGGAAACTTGCATACAGACCTGTCCAGCTATCAGCGGTGGCTGTCACGGATACGTTTTCGTGATTTTACTCAGCCCCTTCAAGTACATACAGTCAAACCTCGGTTCACGAACTTAATTCGTTCCTGAAGGTCGTTCGTAAACCGAAACTATTTTCCCCATAGGAATTAATGTAAAATGGATTAATCCGTTCCTGGACCCCAGATGGTTGCTTATTTAAAATTTTACAACAGTAATTTGTGCACAAGTTCTTAACACAAAATCAATGGAAACCATTAAATCTATCACAAAGAAGATAAACACAACACTAAGCAGATCAAGTATAGACAAAAACTTAATTTGGTTTTACCGTACCTGTATGCAGGAGAGTTGACGGCGTAAGTGGAAGGCGGTGAGGAAGTGAAATGTTATTGTTTAGAAGGGGATTATTTTTCTTTTTCCTGTCTCTTGGCACCACTCGACTCTGCATCAGACTCACTGGGCCTCTGTCTCACTAAAAAGTTGTCCAGCGTGATTTGTTTTTGTCTACGTTTTAAAATGTTTCTAAAGTGACACATGGCATTATCATTGAAAATGTTTATGCTGCGGCTTGCTACTGCTTTATCGTTCCACGAAACTTTGCACATCACCCCATTTTGCACAAATTTCACGGATCAAAGAAGTAGGAACATCCTCCCTTCCTTCCTTCCTCTTCCTCTGAAGACATTTCCTTCACAATCGCCTTTTGTAGCTGCTTCTGTAGATCAGAGACAAGAACACCATTTCATGTTTGGCTATGATTTCTTTCTTAACATCTATCATGATATTGGCATGTTTTCTTTTCACTTTGCTTCTATCATTGTCTTTCTTTGGCCCCATGCTGGATCATTCTTCTACGAACACTGCCGACGCTGATACTCCCAGCTTATCGCTCCACGATGTTGACGGCTTGCGTGTTCGTAACTTGAGACACAGTACGTAATCCGAGACGCTTTGTGTTCGGAAAATTTGTTCGTGATCCGAGGTGTTCGTGAACCGAGGTTTGACTGTACTATGAAAGTGTCTTAAATTAGGCCTTCCACATCCTTTCATATTCATTATTCAGCCATCGCCCTGTCGTTCGACGCTTGTATATTCCGAGTTACGACCAGTCGTTAAACAGATGACGGCGTCGCAACCGACAGTCAGAGTGCAGAAATCCATAAAACATGACATAAGCGCCACAGCTTGGGCAAACTTGCTCACTTTCACTAATAGCATGAGAAAGGATTAATGTAACACATTACACGGGTATAAAACCACCTCAACACATGGAAACCCGATCGTAGAAAAATGAAATAAAATACCAGAGCATCTTAAAGAGATGTAAGGCGCACAGTGACACAAATTCGTAGAAATTTTTAATCACGTTCAATCACTGCAACACGCAGATACCAGCTGATTATACAAACTGCAGACATCTGGTGGCAGGGACACGTATGGTATCATGATGGCAGGTATGCGTGCGCATAAATCAAGCATTTGCAAAGTAGCGGTCGTAGTTTACCGCTTACAGAGACAAAAATTAAAATGCAAGCAAGCTCATCTAGGTTAGTCGGTGAATAATGAACTGGAAACAAATGTGGAAGGCATCTGTCTGCAGCAACCACGGCAAAAGACAAAAGAACCTCAGTCGAGACAGCCAATCGCGTTTGCCGTCATTTGAACTCCGGAATATGGAACAGGGGGAATATTTCCATCAAAATCGACTTCGTATCATCGCGATAAACAGAGAGACCAAACTCTTAATAATGGCTTTGAGGTATTACGTATGTACTAGTTTTTTCTGTAACATCCGATCATGGCGGGGGTGAGCAGAACCGGTTAATTCAATCATTCATTCATTCATTCAATAAACACGACATGAAAACTGTCAAGTCTTCGCAATTCCAAGGCATGGACGAAGACATTCTTCCGTGCATGACAACAGCTTCTTTGATCGGTGTTCTTCGCGTTCTAACACGATCGAAAAACTTACATGCCCGTCCATGTCCTTCTGTCTGTCGCACTTATCGCTGGGGTACTCAACCTGTACGACCTGGAGCCAGGTCAGTTTTCGAACGGGATATTCATGGTCAGGGCCCACTGCTACTGTTGGGGTACTGTTCCTTCGAGGGGGTCATTGTTCCGAAAGGGATATTCAACCTGCATCATATCAGTGTAATGACTTACATGACCCACTATCGCCCTAACGATGGAGGCAGTAAGCACCTCTGAAACGTCGGTCAATTTCATGTTGTATCTCCTTCCCAGAAAATACGCCTTCCGTCAGAAATGAAGTCTTTGGTGATTACAAAGCGTAGTTTATTTCGGAATGTATGTAGCAACAAGAAGCCGGGTCCGAGGACGACCTTCCAGTCTCATTTTACTCCGGACGCAATGATCGATGCGACGTTACGACGCTCATTTACGGAGCCGCAGTCAGACGTTTCGTAACACGAGAGTCGCACACAGTGGCAACGTGGACAGTGCGAAATAGCCAGGTTATTTCGGGACGAAAAGGTTTACAAGTCGCTTTTATGCTCGCCAATGTTTCTCTCTTGTCAGAAAGCTGTCTTAACTAAATCACATGCAAATCGTAAATCAGGGAACCAAAGAAATATACGCGTCGCCCCCCCCCCCCCCCAAATAATAACCCCCAATCTTTTCCAAACTCAGGGATCGGTAAAACAGCAATGGATTTTCCCACGACTGATAAAAATATCTAACGCTTTTCGACATAATAATGATCGATTAATCTAATTAATACACGCACGTACAACTTACAAGATGGAGCATAGTCTTTATT